AAGCTGGCAAGAGGGAAGAAACAGATAACATTCAAAGGAAAGCCAATCAGGCTGACATCAGACTTCTCCGAAGAAACACTACGGGCAAGGAGAGAGTGGAGGGACATAGTCAACAGACTCCAAGAAATCAGATGCCAACCAAGAATTCTCTATCCCGCAAAGCTCTCCTTCCTCTTTGAAGAAAGAATATGGACCTTCCCAGACAAACAGAAACTCCGGAATTTCATTGCAACTAAACCCCCACTCCAAAAAATACTACAAGGAGTCCTAAAGCCAGAACCTCAGAGGGACGAATAACAATGAAAGAAGGCCAAAAAAAAAAAAAAGTTATTAAAAGAATAAATAAATAAAATCAAAGGAAAGACAAACACAATGGCAAATACAGATGTTAACATATCAATATTAACTCTAAATGTAAATGGACTAAACTCTTCAATAAAAAGACACAGAGTGGCAGCCTGGATTAAGAAACAAAACCCAACCTTTTGCTGTCTCCAGGAAACACATTTAGCTACAAAAGATAAAAATAGGCTCAAAGTTAAAGGATGGAAAACAATCCTACAAGCAAATGGACCAAAAAAGAAAGCAGGAACAGCTATACTTATATCAGATAAAACAGATTTCAAACTCAAAAAGATAAAAAGAGACCCCAATGGTCACTACATTATGATCAAGGGGACAATACTTCAAGAAGAAATAACACTCGTTAACATATACTCACCAAACGAAGGAGCACCAAAATATATCAGACAACTGTTGTCCTCTCTGAAAACAGACATCGGAGAAAACACATACGTAGTGGGAGACTTCAACACACCACTATCAACAATGGATAGATCAACAAGACAAAAAATAAGTAAAGAAACCAAAGCTTTAAATAAGGACCTAGAGCAATTAGGCTTAACAGACATCTATAGAACACTAAACCCCAAAAAAACGGAGTACACATTTTTCTCAAGCGCACACGGATCATTCTCCAGTATCGATCACATACTGGGGCACAAGACAAACATCAACAGATACACCAAGATTGAAATCATATCAACCATCTTTTCTGACCATGAAGGCATCAAACTAGAAATAAACCATAAAAAGAAGGCAAGGAACTTTCCTACCTCATGGAGATTAAAAACCACACTACTGGAAGACCATTGGACTAATGAGGAGATCAAAGAAGAAATTAAAAAATTTTTTGAATTGAACAACAAGGAGGACACTAATATCCTAAATGTATGGGATGCAGCAAAAGCAGTAATAAGAGGAAAATATATAGCAATAGAAGCTCACATCAAGAAACAAGAAAGAACGCAAAGAAACAACCTCATCTCGAAGCTCAAAGATCTAGAAAAAGAACAACAAAAAAACCCCAAAACCAGTAGAAGAAAAGAAATAATAAAAACCAAAGCAGAAATAAATGAAATTGAAACTAAAAAAACAATCCAAAAGATCAATGAAACCAAGAGCTGGTTTTTTGAAAAAATCAATAAAATAGACAAACCCCTAGCCAGGCTCACAAAGGGAAAAAGGGAGAAAGCACAAATAAACAGGATCATCAATGAAAGAGGAGAAATCACAACGGACACAGCAGAAATCAAAAGAATAATCAGTAACTACTATGAACAGTTATATGGAAACAAGTTTAACAATCTAGAGGAGATGGACAAATTCCTACAACTCTACAATCACCCAAAGCTAGATAAAGAAGAAATAGAACACCTAAACAGACCAATTACAATTAGCGAAATTGAAATGGTAATCAAAAACCTCCCCAAAAACAAAAGCCCAGGACCTGATGGATTTACAAATGAATTCTACCAAACATTCAGAGACGAATTAGTGCCTATCCTTCACAAACTCTTCCAAAAAATTGAGAAGGAAGGGACAATACCAAACACGTTCTATGAAGCCAACATTACACTAATACCAAAACCGAACAAGGACAACACAAAAAAGGAAAACTACAGGCCAATCTCCCTAATGAACACTGATGCAAAAATCCTCAATAAAATTTTAGCTATCAGAATCCAACAATGTATCCATAAGATAATTCACCACGACCAAGTTGGATTCATTCCAGGGGCACAAGGATGGTTTAACATCCGAAAATCAATCAACGTTATCCAACACATCAACAAAAAGAAATATAAAAACCATATGATAATATCAATAGATGCTGAGAAAGCTTTCGACAAAGTGCAACACCCATTCATGATAAAAGCCCTTGAAATTCTGGGGATACAAGGAACATACCTCAACATCATAAAGGCCATCTATGACAAGCCAACAGCCAGTATCATTCTCAATGGTGAAAAGCTGAAAGCAATTCCATTAAGATCTGGAACAAGACAAGGATGTCCACTCTCACCATTGCTTTTCAATATAATACTGGAAGTCCTAGCCAGGGCAATAAGACAAGAGAAAGACATCCAAGGAATCCAAATAGGAAAAGAAGAAGTCAAACCATCACTATTTGCAGACGATATGATATTATACATAGAGAACCCCAAAAACTCCACAGAAAAGCTAATTCAACTCATCAATCAGTTCAGTAAAGTGGCAGGATACAAAATCAACACGCAAAAGTCAGTAGCCTTCCTATACACAAACAATAAATCTGAAGAAGAAGAAATCAAAAAGACCATCCCTTTTGTTATTGAAACAAAAAAAATCAAATATTTGGGAATAAATCTAACAAAAGAGGTAAAGGACCTATACAAAGAAAACTATAAAACACTGTTAAAAGAAATAGAAGAAGACACAAAGAAATGGAGAGACATCCCCTGCTCATGGATTGGAAGAATAAACATTATTAAAATGGCCATCCTACCAAAAGCAATATACAGATTCAATGCTATTCCAATCAAAATTTCAATGTCATTCTTCAAAGAAATAGAACAATTATTGATGAAATTCATATGGAATCACCAAAAACCCGAATAGCCAAAGCTCTCCTGAAAAAAAAAGAAGGGAATGGAGGCATCAGACTCCCAGACTTCAAGCTATACTACAAAGCCATAATCATCAAAACTGCATGGTATTGGAACAAGAACAGACATACAGACCAATGGAATCGAATAGAAAATCCAGAAATAAACCCACAGATTTATGGTCAACTAATCTTTGACAAAGGAGCAAAGAATATGCATTGGAGCAAAGAAAGTTTGTTCAATAAATGGTGCTGGGAAAACTGGGTCGCTACATGCAAAAGAATGAAGCTTGACCACCACCTCACACCATACACAAAAATCAACTCAAAATGGATTAAAGAACTAGACATAAGACCTGAAACCATAAAATATATAGAAGGAAATATAGGCGAAACACTACGTGATTTGCACATCAAAGACATCTTTACAGACACATCACCCAAAGCAGTGATAGTGAAGGCAAAGATAAACAGCTGGGACTACATCAAATTAAAGAGCTTTTGCACAGCAAAAGAGACAATAACAAAAACAAAGAGAAACCCCACCAACTGGGAGAACATTTTTGCACCCAACACTAATGATAAAGGACTGATCACAAAAATCTGCAAAGAGCTGATGAGACTCAACAACAACAAAGAAAATAATCCAGTCAAAAAATGGGCAGAAGAGCTAAAAAGAAACTTCTCTGAAGAGGAAATGCAAATGGCCAACAGGCATATGAAAAAATGTTCAACATCACTTGTCATCAGGGAAATGCAAATCAAAACTACCATGAGATACCATCTTACACCAGTGACAATGGCACATATTAAAAAAACTAGCAACAACAAATGTTGGCGAGGGTGTGGAGAAAAAGGAACTCTTCTGCACTTTTGGTGGGAGTGCAAACTGGTCCAACCACTGTGGAAAACTGTATGGAGATTTCTGGACCTACTAAACATAGAGCTTCCATATGATCCAGCAATTCCACTCCTAGGTATTTACCCAAAGGACACAGAAACATCAATTCCAAAGAACACCTGCACCCCTATGTTTATAGCAGCACTGTTTACAATAGCTAAGCTTTGGAAACAACCCAAATGCCAAAAATAGATGACTGGATCAAGAAGATGTGGTACATATATACCATGGAATATTACTCAGCATTCAAAAAAGATAAACACATGCAATTTGCAGCAACATGGATGGCGCTGGAAGGGATCATGCTCAGCAAAATAAGCCAAAAAGAAAAAGAAAAATACCGGATGGTCTCACTCATAGCAGGAATCTAGAAAACTTAAATAAGGGACCAGGAAAATGAATAACTATAAGAAAGTGAAAATCAAAATCAACAAAAAACTATGAACCAGAGACACTTTTAGGGGGGCGGGGGTGGGAGGGGAGGGATTGGGGTCAGAATGGGGGGGCTGCAATTGTATGGGGAATATAACAATAAAATTTATTAAAAAAAATAATAATAAAATAAAATATTCCGAAAATAAATCTTGGGTCGATACTAAGAGTAAGTGAAGCATAGGAAAGTAGTCCAAAGAAGCCAGCCAGAGAGCTAACTTGTAAAGAAAGAAGACATTTTGTTTGGGAAAAATTCCAGAAGGGGCGAAGTAGGACACTCTCTGTTGCAGCTTCACAGGGATTTGAAAATACTAGTTTTGAGCCTGGAGAAGTGAATGCATCCAAGGACCAGAAAGACAGACCATTCATTTCAAATAGCAGGCTACAGACCATGTCACACCTTGAAACATGGTACAAATAATAATTATTGTTGGGAAATCCAGAACTTGAAGATTCATACAGGAAGAGACGGGGATGAGTGAAAAATGCCCAGAGCCTGGAGTCAGACAGAACCAGTATCTACAACACTTGTATTCAGCTCAATGTTGAGAAGCCTGGTGTCTCTAACCTTCTCTAGGCCTCTCATATAAACTGAAGATCATTCATGAGCAGGGGTAAATTAAGTTAGCTAAAAAACGTTGTATGTTTGGCACAAAGTCTGGCACCTGGTGTACCTGAGAAAATGGTAGCACTTTACATGGGCAGATTTGGAGAACTATGTTAACTATCCCACGTCCTTACCGAGAACTCCAACTGAGGAGATGGGTCGTGCCGACGCTGTTTTCCAGGATGCTCCAGAGGGAGTTGACCATTTATTTGCATGTCGCTCAGCCAAGAAGGCGTATTGCAGGGCCCTGGCCTGCCCAGATCTCTGAAGGTATATAAACAGCTCCTCCTCCTTCTTGATGCCCTCCTCATAGGGATACTGCACTGCAGCCTGGACTGAATGGATACAAGTCACCTGAGAAAGGCACCCAGGGTGCTGCTTTCTCATCTTTGAAAGGGCCTCACTGAAAATGGAATCCATATGGGGCAAGTTCTGAATCTGTTTATTGTAGATTCTGCGGGATTCAAAGGGCTGGTCTGAAAGAAAGAAGAAAGAAGATTGGATTTTTGGGAGATGTTACTTACACAATGAGAAAATAAGTATATAACAATAGTAATAATAATGTCAACAATAATAACCTGTTCAAATCCAAAGTATAAAAATTAAATGCTATTCATTAAGGTATTGAAACACTAATACCAAAATCACTGACATCTTTGCAACTAATCCCATAAGATAGAATTTAATAGATTCAAAACAGTTTCAGGGCCTCCCTGATGGCGCAAGGAATTAAGACACAACCTATGAATCTGTCTGAAGCCTCTGCAGCACAAATTCAATCCCCAGCGGCCAGGGAGCAACCCACATGGCGCAGCAGACCTCTCCTGGCTTGCCCGCTGATCCCCTCAGCAGTGTACTTTGGTCAATCTGCCTATTATGTTCCCCACTCTGTCTCTGGTGAATCCTCTCATCCAATACACCTCTGGCCTGTACCCCAACTCTTGTATGCATAAACAAATAAATCTTTAAAAAAAAAGCTTTACTATTAAAAAAAGTTTCAAATTACTTAATTTAGGCATAAAAGTTATGTTTCTTTCATTCCAAAGCCAGAACAATTTTATATCATATGATGTATTAAATAACATTTATATTAAAAAATTAAAGAAAATTTTACCATGTGTGACAACATAGATGGAACTGGAGGGGATTATGCTAAGCAAAGTAAGTCAGAAGAAAGACAAATACCAAATTATTTCACTCATATGTGGAATATAAAGAAACAAAGTAAATGAACAGACAAAACCAAACCAAAACAAACCTTAGAAATCTGACTGCAGAACTGTGGCTACCATAAAGAGAGAGTAGGAAAGGGGAGCAAAGAAGAGAGGAGACCCAAAGAATTATAGTGGTGGGTTACAAATGTGTTAGTGGTGAGTGTGGAGTGGTAACCTCCACCTAAAGAGATGTGAACTCATAACCCCTAGATCACATACAGTGTTGTAAACCAAGGTTATTGCAATAAAAATAAAAAGTTCAATCTTATCTTCCACCATATAATTGATGTCTTTTACCCAATTACTGACCCTTACCCCCACCCCACCCCCGCTTCTGTTGACTACTAATGGGTCTTACAAATGAAAGCTTATTTTTGTTTTACTTGGTTTATCTGTTTGTTTTCTCTATATACCGTATATGATTGTATTCATACAATATTTGCCATTCTTTGTCTGACTTATTTCACTATGCATAATGGCAACTTTCAATACAGCTGCCAAAACAATTCAACAAGAGAAAGGAGAGTTTTTCAGAGGAGGGAAGAGCACAAGGGACTATGGTGATGGTGCATAGATGAATTGGTGGTGGAAATTTTATGGGGACTACACCTGAGAGGAGAAAGCCTACATTGTACTAACATGAACAATGATGTAAAATAATATATATACAAATAAATAAATGAATTTTTTTATAAAGGAGAGTTTTTTCAACAAATGATGCTGAATAACTGGAATATCCACATGCCAAATAAATAAACTTAGATCCTTAGCTGGCATCATATATAAAAATTGAATCAAGATGGATCATAAATCTAAATTGAAGAGCTAAAACTATAAAAATCTCCAGAAGAAAACACTGACAAAAATCTGTGAAACCTTGCACTGGGAAAAATCTTCCTAACACAACCCATAAAAGAAAAATAAATCAATCCGTGAAACTTCATCAAAATTAAAGACTTTTGTACTTTAAAGAGCACCATTTTAAAAATGAAATGATAAGGCACAGTGGGGAAAAAAAACTTACTGTAGGCAGAATAATACCTCCATAATATCTGCTTCCTAATCATCAGAAATCTGAATATATTACATGGCAACAGAAGTGATTAAGACCAAAGATTTTGAATTGTGGAGATTACCCCTAATTATCTGGGTCAGCCCAATCTAATCACTTGGGGACTTAAAAGAGAAAACCTTAAAAGAAGGGCAACAGGAAAGTCATATCAAAACACCCTTAAAACACTAGAAATATGTAGTGAGTCTGTGTCAAAGAAAGGTCAAGGTGGATAATATTTGTGTATTTCAGCAATCAAGAGATGAAAAGTTTCACTGAAGATAAAACTTTAATGAAGAAGAAAAAATAGAAGAAACAGCATGAGGAAGAAAATTATTTTACTGATACCAACAGCCAACATTCTTGCAAAAAAAAAGATGAAGCCAATGAAGAAAGTAGGGAAGAGAAATCTGTTGAATAAAATGGAATCAGCAGGGTCTCCTCTCTGTGCCAGGACTGTTATTTGCAGCTGCACTTGAGTGTTAGGAGGATGGATGGGGGCCCCTCCGGTATGTGCAGGGCTCTTGAGCACAGTCATCCGAATCCAGCTGATTAGTCATTTGGTCAGAGTAAAGCCCTGCCTCTTCAGTCTTTAAAATCTCTGTGTATGGGCTGTTTGCAGCTTTCAGCTTGTATTTTAAAAAAGCTTTTGAGAATCACAGCTGTCTCAAACTGATTACTTATAAAAATATACATTACATCATTACTTTGGGTAGGAAGGAAAAAGCATAGCATCAGAAGCAAAGAGGAGTATTGGTCTTTGGTGATTTGAAAACATTTTTCGATAGCAGAATAAATAAACATTTAAAAATTATACCATTTTCCCATTTATTCCCAACATCTCACAAAATGAATTCTCAAACTAGTGTTGCTAGATATTTGAAATTTCTTATCTGAGCTATTTAAAAAGGTATAAAATGTAGGAAAAAAGTAGATTCTTGCAAATATATATTCATTTGTGCACTTAGAATTTACTGTCAAATTATTCACACCATCATCACTTTTTATTGCTAGTTTGATTCCAAATTATTTTTGACATGTAAATTATCAGAAAAGTTTTTTATACTAGTTTTTTCTAACTCCATGTATTACCATATAAAAAAAAAAACTACAGCTCCTCGGCAGCTTCCTGAGGGCCAGGCGCCGGCAAGCCGGCCGCGAGGACGGCGTTGGCAGCGCCTCGGATTGAAATCCCAGAAGATATACGTGTTCATAGGAGAAAAGAAGGAAATCTAATTCGTCTTTCTTTTTAAAACTTTTACTGGTCTGGATACACTAAGGGGCGGAGCAACATGGCGGCGAGGAGACGCTGCGAGTAAGATCTCCCATTAAAAAAAGTGAATAGGGAGGAAAAGCGGCAGGTCCCAGTGAGAACCGGGACACGGAAGATAAACGGGTGACGCCAGCAAACTGCCCGAAGAAGAAAGTGGCCATAAAAGAGGACCAGAAGGGAGGGAAGCGCAGAACCCTGCTCCCCTCCCCCGCCCACAGAGGCAGCACTCTCCGACCCGCAGAGAGGAGGAAAACAACAAACCAAAACGGCCCACAAGAACAAACGACGCAGCAAGCGGGACTGGGAGTGGAAAGGAACTATTGCAGCCACCACACCCCGTGAACAGGAGCTGTGGAGAACCCTGCAGGATCCGCCGCGGCGGTGAGCTCCGGGCGCCATTAAAGAGAGACCCCGCCCAGGAGGAGACCAACCCCAGCACACAGCCCCGGGCTGCCCGGTAAGCCTGCTGGAAAAGCGGCGTGCTAGAAAAGCAGGCGCGGATAGCGGTCAGGATTGTGTGGAAAAGCGGCGCGCTGGAAAACCAAGTGCGGATCGGAATCGGGATCGCGCGCGGAAAAGCAGTGCAGTTGAAAAGCAAACGCGGATCCAGATCGCAGCTGCCCAGGTCCCTGCGCCTGCGACCTAGGCAGGAACCAGGCGCCCAGGCACGGGAGCGGGATTCAAAAGGCGCCATTCCCGCGCCACTGAACTGGGCTACAGCCTGAGTCCTGGAACTGAGGGCTTTGGAACTGACACCAGGGACACGAAATTAGGGGCGTGGGTTCCCCACGACGGTGGGGCACAAGGCAGACACAGCACCCCAAAGCCGTTGAGGTTTACGCTACCATTCCCGCTCTATTCCCTGTCCCACGGGGTGGAAAATCAGCTCCCCAAGGGCTCCAGGAGAGATCTCTGGCGCCACCTAGCGACTTGAAGCCAGCAGAGGCGCCTAGAGGAGACAGTGGCCAGCTGGGGAGTTAGCCCACGCCGGGCCCCTTCCGACCAGTAGTCTGAGCCCACAGGGGGAGCGAGCACCCACAGCCGGGGCAGACCAGGCGCGCAGAAGAGTGTGCCTGAGACCGGACGTGCAGGGAGTGTGTCCCACATCACCATCTTAGAACAGGGACATTTCTTCAGTAAAGACTACCTGCAGAAGGCTTCCTCAGGAGCCAGAGGTAGGCGGGGGAAATTCGCCCATGCCAGACCCCATCTGGCCTGCAGTCCAAGCCCAGAGGGGGAGCAGGAACCCACCGCTGAGGCAGACCAGGCGCACAGGGGAGTGTGTCCCCACATCGGCATTTAGAACAGGACCTTTCTCCAGTAATGATGCTTGAAACTGACAGATGACTCCTGGAGGAACCAGAGGAGAGCAGAGAAGCTCACCCAAGATGCCGGCCAGTTCCAACTACACAGTGTCACAACGCATACGGCAAATTAGAAAACAGACAGTAGGGAGGAGAAGAACCACACGCAACCTAGCAACTCCCCAGGGAAAAAGCACACCACAAAAAGAAAAGCAGCCCACAGATGGCAACGACAGTAACTTGGAAGAACTTCTGAGCCTTCCAGAAAGAGAATTTAAAATTGCCGTGATTAAAAAACTGACAGAAGTCATAAAGGAAAACAATGATAAGGGAAAAATAATCAACGATCAGAAGAATGCAATTGAGTCCCTAGAGAGGGAAAACAATGGTCAGAAGAATGAAATTGAGTCCCTAAAGAGGGAAGTAAAAGAAATGCAGGAGATCAAAGAATTAATGGAAGAACTAAAGAATTCTGGGAAAAGCAATGAAAGCAGAATAGATGAAATGGAAGAACGAATAAGTAATCTTGAAGACACAGAAATAAAAGAACCAAAACAGAAAAGGAAAGAGAAGTACGAAGGAAAAAGAACGAAGAAAGACTTCGGGAACTATCTGACTCCATGAGGAAAGGAAA